AGAAATGAGAGAATTGCCTAGAAATGATGTGCTTCTATGGAAACAATCTTTGATGTCAAGATGGAGCTACTGTCCTTCCTAAAAAAAGGAAGCCCAGTTGTATACCAGGTTCTAAGTAACTGAAAGACTGCACCTACAACTAGTCAAGATTCCCTCCCTGAAGACCAGGCTATTAAGACTAAGCATTTAAACTGAACTAACTGCTTTCCTTCAGCTGTTCAAATTTACTAAGCAAAGTGACAGGTTCCTAGTTTTCAAGATTTATTGTCATCTTTGTGCTGACAGTTGGCTCCCAAGTTTTTATATTTAGACTGACTCCTGGTTTATACGCTTGCAAAAATCAATTTGATTAGTTCATATAAAGATTGCAGGGTGGTGCTTGTTGGTTTTTTATTTTAAAACCAGTGCCAAGTCTGGAAGAAAACAATGACATTATAAAAAACCTATACTAAAAAACAAAAGTCTGCTCCTACTCTGATAATCCAGACCAAGGAATCTGAACAGGAATACCCAGGGGTTTCCCAGTTTAGGAGAGAAACTGTCCTTTGTATTAGCATAGTGTATAGTTGCAAGGTTCTCTTTTTCTGAGCCAAGTTTCTTCAATGGAAGCCATAGTCCTTATATATGGGTTTAAATCAAAGGTAATGGTCAAATTATTCCAGGTTAAACATGAAAGAGGAAGATTTATGACAAGACAGCAGTAACTTTCAAAGTAAAAAGTGCAGCAAACATCTGAACAGCTCACTCTTAGTTTTGCAATCCACAGCAAAAGTAAACAGGTAACAAGTCATCTGGACAAAAAAAAAAAAAAGAGAGAGAACAGACTTTTCTATATCAATATCCAGGTGCCTTCTGGCTATGACACAGAAGAAGAATTAGAGTTGAAAGTTCTGGAAGACCCTTTGGAAAAATGTTTATTTATGAAGGCTGGTGACTGGCATGGAAAAAAAAAACAGAAACACAAAAACAGTGCTTTACTAGAAGAAAAGCCTTAGTTCGACCTGGCCCCCCAGCATCTGTAGAGATTGGAAGCTTCAGTGGGGCTTTTTGGTGCTTTTATCTAATAACTGATTCAATCAGCTATTAAATAGAAGTGCCAAAAAGCCTCACTGAAGCAGGTAATTCCTACAGACGTTAGGCAAGCCAGGTCAAAATAACTGGATGCCTCTTCTGAGCATGCACTGTGCTCAGTGCAGAGACATGCTGTGCTTAAAGTAAAACGCTTTTTTGGTTTGTTTGATTTTTTTTCCACGTCTGTTAGCAGCCGTGGATACTTGATATCACAGGCAACTGGACTTTGACCCAAGAAGTGCCTACGAAAATGTTTTTATCCTGCAATCAGGAAATTACTCAATTCTTATAAAACTGTCCGTGTAGACATAAGATCAGATTTAAAAGATCTGGCTCACATTAAACAGACTGACTGAAAAAGGGAGTTGGACAAGAAAGCCAGGGGAGATCATGATACCATATCAGGATGTACCAAACATGGCAGGATAAATACAAGATCACTCATCTTGGGCAAGGAATGTAAAGGAGAACAGAGCAAAGAGGACAGGTTGAACAAAGAGACAAACCCATTAAAATACTAAATATTTTCCATGGTTCCATTTAAATTAGTGATTAAAATACTACCTACAACAGGAACGAGACATTTTAACTAAATTTAAACCAGAGAATAACAGCCTGCTAAACAGAGTAAATTTTATACACATGGCACCAATGAGTGTGTGGAAAAGGAGGAAGAAAAGAAGAAATAGAATAAGGGGAGGGTTATCTTGTTAAGAAAAATCAGACCGTTCTTGGTATTTCGTTGACTCCGACTGATCCAAGAAAGTAATCACATTAGGATGCACATGTCTGGGTATTCCCTTAAACTCAGATCCCAAGCCAAAAATCTAAACGCAACTGTGTTATTGACATGGAAAATGCAGCTACACTATGCATCTGGATGAATTCATTAGCTTACCTCCATGACAACAGAATATCTTCTCATCCACAATGGCTGCAATAGGCAGACAATTAAAACAGTCGGTGAAGGTCTTCCAAAGTTTAATGTTAAATCGCCGTTTGCCTGTCAGAAAAGTAGTTTAATTAGGAGAGCGCACAGGCATCCTGCAATGTGCATTATACTCTGACAATTCAAGAAAAGGAAGTTAAGTCTAAGTTATGAAATTTGAATGAAGCCCACAATGAAGTCACTTGATAAAACAGTGATTCTCAACCAGGATGACCCAAAATCCTTTGAAGGGCGCTGAGGTGTGAGGAGATAAGCAGATAAGCACAGGCTCAGGCTCATCCATGCCTGGCTGTTCCCCTAGCCCCATTGTCTGGCTCCTTTGCTAGAAAGTAAGCACTGTGATAAATAAAAAGTTAGTTTTTGAAACAGGGTGCTGCTCAGTTCATGGAAGTTATGGATAGGGGTGCAATGATAAAGATACCGATGGCTGATTAGCTAGCCATATCAGCTGATACCAGCCCAATTGCCAATATGCAGCCTAGCAGCTTGGAGAGCAGTGTACAGCTGGTAAGCCTGTTGAGGGGAAGGGGGTGGGTGCAGGCAGATGGAGGGCACCCACAGTAAGGGAGGGAGTGGGGCTGGGGCAGGGCATAGGACAGAGCCTCAGCTGGTCCAGGGGGCACACAGGGGCAGTGACGTGTGCACCTCCCCCTGCTGTGCACACCACCAAGGAAGGCATGGGGAGGGGGGGCATATGCCCCTTCGATCTGTGTGTGGAGCAAAAGGTGGGCTGCCTGCTACATGCTAAAGGCTGGGCTGCACCAGCCTCTTCCCAGTGGGGGGCTGGGCCTGGGGCAGTCAGTGGCAGCACTGGGAGGGAAGAGAATAAGGGGGGGGTGACAGCGACCCCAAAATTGGCCACAGCCTCCCCTCCCAGCACCACCACCACCCACCCCACATGCAACCCCGGCGCAGCTCCCACTGGGAAGAGGCTGGCGCAGCCTCCAGCCCCAAGCGTACAACAGGCTGCCCACCCTCACCATGCATGCAGGTCTGGGAGGCACGTGCCCTCCTCCCCCCCGATACCTCCCTCAGGGGTACACACAGTAGCAAGAGCCAACCCCCACCTTCCTGTGCCCCCCCAAACAGCTGTCCCGTGCCCTGCCCCAGCTGGACAGCACCTGTGCCTACCCCAGCCCTACTCCCTCCCTCACCATGGGTACCTGCCCCTTTCAGGGCCCTTCCCTCCTCCAAGCCCCTTCCTGCTCCACAGACTTACCAGCTGGATGTTGCTCTCCACACTACCAGGCTGCATGCATGCTGCGGTTGGGCATATGCACGCAAGATTTAATCAGCAACATAAGCTACCTCAACCAAGAGCCAGTTACTGATGATGTCAATTTTTCTTTTATCGGTGCCAATATGATATGGACTGATGTATCAGTGCACCTCTAGTTATGGAGGTGTGCCTTGAGTCTAATGAGGGTTGCCTTAAGTATATAAAAGTTGAGAACCACCATGTTAAAACATTTTAGTTAGTTACTAAAAGCAAGAACACTTCATATTCAAAGTGGCATACAGTGTTTCAAAGTTACTTACAGAAAGATGTTTCAAAAGAAGATACAAAGAAATAATAATTCAAAATACCCACAATTTTGACTTTTCAGAACTGAACTGAAAAAATTTACTTACATTCATCATAGAATCCATAGATACGGTTAATACTAGCACACTCATGGTTTCCTCTCAAGAGAAAAAAGTTTTCTGGATACTTGATTTTATATGCCAGTAATAGGCAGATTGTTTCCAGAGACTGCTTGCCTCTGTCCACATAATCTCCGAGAAAGAGATAATTAGCTTCCGGTGGGAATCCTCCATATTCAAACAATCGAAGCAAATCTGTATATTGGCCATGAATATCTCCTACAAGATGAGAAATATTAAAAAAAGATCAGTGAAAAATTGTTAAATAGTCTATTGAAACAAAGACATTAAGTACAAGTTTTATGAGGGACTAACACTGTTTGAAACATTCTAAAAACTGAAAGGGTACAGAATTCTTTTTACATTGTCAACTAAAACAGTTTCTAGGAAGCTGGGGAATTTCAGGTTCTTTGTTCAAATTTAGAACTAAAGTCAGAAAAAACTGGTTTAATCCAATAATTCAGTAGAGGTTGGTAAACAAAATCTATGTATAAAAAAAACAAAAAAGCAAGTCTGGCACACAATTCTGTAAAAGCTGTAATCCCAAAAGCATTCAGTAAAGAATTTAGACTGATTAGAGGCTTGTACAACATTAAACTATTCTAAAAGCTTTAGATCTGAAAACCCTAGCAGGTTGAATGCTGGTCATTCCAGCTACTACATAAAGTCATAGAACAGAATACTTTGAATAAAAGTGTCATCTTTAGCACAGTATTTTACAATTTGCTAGATAGTTCAGAAACTTTAAAACATTATATCCTAAATATTCAACTCCACTACTTAACGTGTAACTCCATAACCTGTTAATTCAGAAAGGGGAGGAACGGGGGAAGGGAGAGGATATACCCTCCACCCTTTTTTTTTTTTAAACAGTATGGGTGCTGACTAAGGGTGTGCGAAGCGGACCCTATTCAATTCGGATTCAGCCCAAATCAGGGACAGTGATTAAATTCATTGATTTGGATCAATGACCCCCATTTGATTCGGAGGAGTGGGAAGGGGGGCGAGGGGAGAGCACATGCGGCACCCCGTGTGCTTGGCAGCAAAACTGGAAGTGGACCAGAAGTACTTCTGGTCTACTTCCGGGTCTCCTGGGGAGCACGCCAGGGGGACCTGCACCCCCTGGCTCTGTGATCAGTTGCGGGGGGGACCCTGGGTACCCCCCCCCAGACCCAGGAGGCATCCGTCGCTGAGCTGGGTCTGGGGGGCACAAACACGCTCCCTGGCAGAACTGGAAGTGCTTCTGGGTCTGCTGCTGAGCGTGCAGAGGAGCCCCCCAAGCACCCCAGCATTCACAAGCCATCTGGAACCTTGAAGTATGTAGAGACAGCTTTAAATGTTTTTTCTTCATCTGAATCAATTCGGAGGGTTCCGATTCAAAAATCAGAGAGATTAAAGGGTCCCCTGATTTGATTTGGATATTTGGCCACTGAATTGAATCAGGGACCAAAGCTTTGCACAACCCTAGTGCTGACAGACATGGCAAGGAAGAACAAAAAAACCCAAAACAACACTTTACCAGAAGGGGAACTACGCCAGCTTGACCCAGCCACCCAGTGTCTGTACAGCTCGTCTGCTTCAGCAGGGCTTTCGGCACTTATCTAACAGTTGATTCAAATCAGCTATTAAATAAAAAACGCCAGAAGCCCCACTGAAGCAGATGAGCTGTACAGACACTGGGGAACCAGGTCAAACTGGCATGATTCCTCATGTGGGCTTGTGCTGCACTCAGTGTGGGGGGGGGACAGTGATTTGAAAGTAAAACACTGTTTTTTTTCCCCTACATCTTTAAGCACTCCATTTGTCACAACCATACTATTAACTCATTTTTACAGAATGCACAAATTTAACTTTAAGTTGATACAATGTGATCCATTTTAAACTCCTGTCCCTTGATCTATTTAAATGTAGATTGATGTGGAATACCTCCAGGTGACCTACAATTCTGCTGCTGGCAGCAAGGCATCCATCAGATTTTAAAACAAATATATTCCATAATCCTGTGTAGGCCTCAATTCATCTGTAATTTATTGTTCTGAAAGGCCTAAGCATGCATATACATATCTAAAGTTCTCCATTTCAAATCTGCAAGTAATTAACAGGTTTAAACAGCCATAAACAAAACTTTAGGACAGACTGGAGTTAAATAAATAATCTTCCTTTAATCAGGCAAAACTCACACAACATAGGAGAAAAGCTACCTTTACAATCTGGCATGCCTACGCTTAACTGGATTACCAAGCCCCTCTGACCCCTGCACAGCCTGCCCCTCCACAACCCCTCTGTCCTGATGTGGACTCCCACTCAGTGCCTTCATCATCCAAAGATGAAGCAGCTCTGTCCCTGCTGTGCTGCCCCCATCCCTGTACCTTTGATGCAGGTAGCTGTCAGAGGCAGAGGGCTGGCAGAAGGCCTCAGTAGCAGCACATGGGGGGGTGGAAACAGGCCGGGAAGGGGTTTAGCAGGCTCCCATGAGTAGCAATAAGAGCTCAATGCAGGGGTTTGTGCTCTTGCTCAGAGAACAGGTGGCACCACTGTGCTCAGTCCATCTTTCAATGTTGTTTCTGCTTCTTTTTTATTTTTTTTGTTTTTTGTGTTTGTTTTTTAAACAGTGTGTCTGTATTTATTTACAGCACACCGGCAACCCTAATCTTTAAGGAACTTCCAGATGCATGAGAGGCAGGACTGTCTGAATATATGCACCAGATACTGAGAACATGACAACTAGAAACGGAAAACATTTGCAAAGATGGAATGGCAAAAAAAAAAAAAAAAAATCAACCAAAAAAATAAAACAAAAATGCCTGAAGAGTTGGCATTTATGCTAGAGTCATTCTGGGATATGATTAACCCATTAGACCAGTGTTTTTCAAAGCTTTGGGCCATGTAACCCTTTACCCAAAACGTTGCTGCTTGTGTGTTCCCAATGCATCTTTGCATGGTCATTCCTTCAGAAGTATGTTGACACCATATCAACGTGTAGCAACACCATCACTCACTGCATGTTGACCAGTCAGCAGCTCCACTATCATTATTAAAATATAGGCACCTACCTCTTGGCAAAACACTGCAAACCTGAAGTTGGAAAAAAAGCACTGCATCAGACTAGGGTGGTCTGACTTCTAGGCAGCTGGGAGCTACAGGGTGCACCAGGCGAGCCATGGCCCCCCTGGGCTGAGCACCCCATGGACGTCCCTCCCCTCAACCACTGCCCTATGCAAGTTCTCTACCCCCTGCTGTCCTACCACACTCCCAGGCTGGCCAGGAGCCTAGGGACCACAATGTAACCCCGTGGGAGCAGCATGGAACCTGAGGGCCACCAAGTGGACAGCCCTGCATGTACACTATCAGTGCTTCCAACAAACCTTATTTCAACAATGAGCACCAGGATCAGCTCTAAACAAAGTACCAAGAATGTAGTATTTTCAGTACCTACTTGGTCTGGGATCAGACCCAGCTTACGCATAAAGCTGAAGTCTGAGTTAAGTTTAGAGAGAGTTAGAGGTACAAGTTGGTTGTTCTAAAATACTAAGTTTATCAAAAACATTTGGCAAGTTAAAGCTTCTTCACATGGATACATTTAGCTCAGGCTTGCATATCAGCTGCAACACCTAACAGGAAAGAAACCACACTAGTGTTTCTATAGAGAGCTGGCATAAAATGAAAGTGAAGTGCACTTTTGTAAAGTGAGTGTACAAAGTGTGAATGTTACATGTTTAATCCAATTACTAAACCATACCAAAATATACCGTCAGCCCAGAGGAGCTGAAGAAACATTACTCAATAAAAAAGTTAATCCAGTAAATCAGATTAGTCTATCTACTTTTTAAAATAAGAGATTTATGTATGTATGTATGAGTATTCTTCTTCATCCCCAATGCCTGCACAGGACTCATTCCTTATAAACATTAATTGGGACAATCTGGTGGAGAAACATTCTAATTACACTTGTGATGCTTCTTGGTTACCTGCAAGCTGTAGTTTATTCACTGTGCAAAACTTCACTCCAGCTTTAGTTTAATATTCTGTTTAGAAAATATTTTATATTGCTTCCTAGACAGTTTAGATTAGAAGATGCACTGGTGGACCTGTTCAAAGTATAGTCCGTTTCAATTAAGAACAGTTTGGAATTAAAATGTCAACTTGTACCACATTTCACTAGATTAAGAAAACCAAAAGTTAAAGCAGTTAGTCTGTCATAGTGAAGAGATTAAATAGCAAAATGAAGAAACTAACTTTGTTTTAGTTTTATGCCAACATATAATAGGCAAATCTTCCCCACCATAGTAGGAATTAAAAAGACAAACAAAGAGCACTTATTATCAAGTTATTACTGACTACGTAAGAAGACTTGTGTGATCAAGCAGCAGATATTAGGAACATTGCTAAATCTGACCTGTTACAAGAGAGCCAAAGGACAGGCTACAGCATATTTGGTTGTATGCATATGAACAAATTCAAACTGAACATTTACATAGCCAATAAATTCAAGAAAAGTGGGATTGATTTATTTATGAGACAGCATCATCATGCTTCCCATTAAATACAGTGTCCGTTCCCCACCCCCCCCATACATCATGCCCTGACAAAACAGGCTTGGAATTGTTCACTAACCAGCACCTGCAACTATATGGTATTGTGTTTAATATACCAATTACTACAAATTCCCCAGGTTTTCAAATTAAAGTAATATTTTTTAAATGCCTAGCATAATATTAATTCTTTATTCACTTCAAGTTAAAATCTTAAATGGATTTTAGGTTCATAAAGAATGGGAAGAGACCAATAACAAGTTTACCAAAGACTTCTATAAAGCTTGAAGTTTATGATATAGAACAAAAAGATCTGATATACTGTATTTACTCAAATACAATACAAGCCCTCACTCCCTCTCTCCACCCCAGCTCAGCAGGGGTGAGTTGTCTCATGTTCACATACAAAGAAACCTGATTAAATACATTGTCTGCTGCCAAAAGCATCACGTGCTCAGTAATGAAAACCAGCTATGAACCCGATTAAATGCAACCAGTGCTGAGCATAACTATAAGAGACCTGGCCCATATTGGACAAACATACCTGATGGGAATTTACCATAAGGACAGGTTAGTGCCACCCATCTGAATAAGATGCATGCTAGCGCCCATAAGTGCAGCCTCCCTCAGCACTGAAACTTTTTTCCAAGTTATAGTGAGCCACTACATTGAATACATTTAGTCTTCCTCTTCACTCCCACACCTGAACTGCACCTTTCTTTCCCATTTTAATGATCCTTGTTTCTTCACCAGCCTTAAATGTCCTGTAAACTACCAACATGGGGCCCCAAACAGTTAATCTAGAATCCCTCTGCCACCCCCTCTCTCAGCCTGTTGCATATGATTAATGTGACCTCACCCTCCATGAAGTGGAGCCAGACCAGGTTATGCTACACTTCATCTGCAAATACATTTTCAGAGGATCCCAGTACTCATGACAAGAACACCTAGTTCCAGTCATGAATGAGGGCTAAATAGCAAAAGGATCGACTGGGGGAGGGGGGGGGGGGGCGGCACCTCCAGAGTACATGCACAGAGAGCAGTGCTGAGTTGTGGGTTCAACATGGCTTGAAACGCTATTGGCTCTGTTGGGGTCCAAGAAAATGAACTATATGGTAAAACAGGAGTGGGAAAATGCAGCCCACCAGGCCATTCTATCTGGCCTGTGGGGCCCCTAAAAAACTTAGAAAATTAATATTAATCTGCCCTGGGCTGCTGGTCATGCAGTCCTTGATGGCTTGCCAAAACTCAGTAAGCAGCCCAGCCCTCTGCCCAAAGTAATTGCCTGCCCCTGTGGTAAAACCATGAGCAGTTTGGCTTTGGACTAGTATCACGCATGCACTGTTTGTACTACAGGTTTCCCTCGATTTATGTGGGTTATTTATAGGAAAATTTGCTCTTATGCAATGAGCATATTTAGACCCATAATTTGTTATATACGAGGCAAATTCACTCTTATGCGATCAGCATAGATGCTCCCCACACAACCCAAGCAGGTAAGTCTGTGGGGGGAGGGGAAGGGGCCATGGCCCCACTCACCCCAGCTACAGTGGCCTGGGAGCAGCCGACACCAGCTGCCTGCACCAGGGGACAACGCAACCCAAGAGCAGAGGTGAGGGGGGGCAGGCGGAACAGTGCAGCCCAGTGGCTGCAGGCAGCTGGCGCCAGCTGGTGGGATGAGTGCTGCTCTGTTCCCTCTGCTTTGCTGCCTTGTGCAGCCCTGGGAGTGGCACCCCTTCCCTAGTCCCAGCCACCCTCACCACCATGGGAACCTATACCTATTTGTTACATTGTAAAGGGGGCTCGCTTTATGCAAATTCAGTGTATGCACTGTTCTCTGGGAACACATGTACAGCATAAAATAGAATGAAACCTGTATATATAAAGTAGGTACAGAAGTGTTGCTTAGAAGTGCGCTTATGGAGTACCGGTGCTAAAAGTTGCAGCAGTTTCAAAAAGCAAAGTGCATCAATTCTGGATGAACTACATTTATGGGTACACATAGGAAATTAACATACCTGCAGTAAATGACTAAGTCAGCATTTTCAAATTTGCCCCTCACTTCTATGTGCTTAGGGAGAGTAGGATGGGGGGGGGGGAAATCTCCTGACTACTCAGATTTAAATTTTCCCTGCTATAGCAGTGGGAGGGGGGCAAATTCAAGGCAAATCTCCAACAGATACATACTTATTCTATACTTGCAAAATTATGGAAAAATTATACATTCTCCACATACTGAATCTAAATGGGGGGGGCACTTTATAAGAGTAAATACAGTAAATTGAATATATTTAAAATTAATGCATATTAAACAGTGAAGAGAATTATCAATTTTCTTGTTTACAACTTTTTAGTGAATGGCAAAACATTGGAAACAGAACACAATTTTACCATGAATCATTAAATGCAGGATTTACATTATTTGAAAGATTCTAGCATTTTCACAGGCTTTTCTCTTTTGTGCATATACATGCCACCAAATAAAAAGTGCACCTTGTTTCTGGAAGACAGAACACAGAAGAGATTTTTCCAGCATCATGGCCAACTGTGACAGAATAATTCCTTTGGCAAACACAGCGTCCAGGAAGCACAGCATCAGGAACTTAACATCCTGGTGTGGAAGACTGTCTCCTACAATGCCACACTTCCTGGACAGTTTCCAAGAGGACTTACTCCATGCCACACAAGGTTACACCTCAGACCCTTACAAAGGGCTGTAGCAAACTTACTTCTTTACTGCAACTAGTTCTTTATACAAGCTTCCACATCACAAGCTTCACCAAAATCTTACTAAACATTCCCTTACTGCTCTGGGTACAAGCTACAGTGCTTGCTACAGTACTCAGCTAATAGCTATGGCTGTGCAGAGTTAAGAAAAACAAACAAACAAAACACAAGACATTGCCCATTTACTTTGCTAAAGAGTCATAAGTGGCAGCCATCTTGGCTGCATTGCATGCATGGTGCTTCCAGGAGTGCTCCTTTATACAGGAAAGCTGCTTTCTTCACTAGAAACACTTCCCCTCCACCCTGCCCAATTTCTGGGGGTTGACTGGAAGGTGTATTTTGTATGCAAGAAGACCCTGCAGCAAACAAGTTTTAGATAGAAGTTTTAGACAGAAGTATTTGCTGTGCTTTTAAAAAAAAAGTGACTCACTGCTTACATAACTATTAAGTTAGATCAACACTCCAGACAAACAACTCTCCTGTTTCAGGGTGTGCACAATTTGCACTATAAAGAGACTACTCTGCCCTGAAATGTTGACAAAACCACAAATCTATGTAGAACACTCTACTCAACTGTCAATTAAGTTTTCAGCACTGAGTAATTTAGGGTTTTTTTTATTTATTTACTGGAGACAGCTCATCTTTTCAATCCATACCAAGCAAGACAAGTTCATTCACATAAGCAAAAACACAAAACATCCACCCATAAAACCCTCAAATTTTCTTTGCTCCATCCTCAGTAACTACAAGATGAAAATCAAGACATGCAAACTAATTTACATACCACAAATCTTGAGAGGTGCCTCAAGTTCCAAGAGAATAGGCTGGCTAAGAAAGATTTCTCGTGATTTTATGCATAAGCCTCGAACTTCTGCTTCTGTCATCTGCACAATCTTGCCAGGACGACATCCTCTCACTGGAAAAAAAGTTAAATGGAATCAGCACCAAGATATAGTTTTGTTTAGGGTGAAGAATTATACAAGTGCTTCTTATCACTATACAGTGCATCACTACAGTGCAGCAGTCTTAAAGAGATATCTAGAGTCTGAAGACACCCTTGGTATATAAAAAACTTCAAGAAAAAACAGCTGTAGTTGTATTTGTTTTACCTTTAACCTACACTAACTGTTCTAGTATGGTTTGGGTTAAAGGAACATTAAACAAGTTTCACTAATTAAGCTTTCTAACGACTGCTTTAGGTAGGAGATACCATTGTGTGTACTCCTTGATCAGGATCATCTACTGAGCCCACCTGTATGGTATCAAACTCCTGTTTTATTCTCTCTACCTGAGCTCTGGTTAGCTCAACTCTCAAATAATGAATATTTACAATTCTGCACCCATAATGGAGGTGCAGACTCCAGCTCACAGAAAAACAACCACCTGTTTAGTAACACTGCTCCTGAATGATCCTGTGCATTTCAGTTAAATGGCCTTTTTGGTCCCTTTCTGTATGTACAGAGATGTTAACTTTGAACTTCCCAAATGCTCCATCCATGCCTCTGAACAAGAACACTGTAGCATGCAAAGCCAGGGGATTACCATAGCAGAAAGTATGGATTGTAAGGGGAGGAGAGGGCAGCATTTTGGTCCTCTGTCAATTTTTTGTGGAGATGAGAAAGAGGGATCAGAGTAAGGAGCACCGTGGAACAAAGTACTTATGCTGGGCTCAAGACAGTGCAGAAAAAGAAACCATATCCCATGGAGCACATAGACTAATGGATTTCAACACCTGGAAACTGAAAGAGAAACCTGCTATGGCTGCAGGTTGCAAAAATGTTCCCAAATAAGGTTGTTTTTTTTTAAAAGAAATTTCTGTACCACAGGGAAGAGAGAAGCATGTGGCAAATGTAAACAGTTCAACAATGAAGGGAAAAGTTCATCTGAATCTTGATAGAGCAACATATGCAACAATACAGTAATACGTGCCTGTGTGACAAAAGATGGGATTGTTTCTCACAGAAACAATCAACACATCAAGACATTCTAATACCAAAGAATACTTAAAAGTAACAGTAAAAGCTATAACAAGCTGTAAGCAAAAATTCAAGTGTCACACAGTTAGCCTTGTCATAGATTATACTGCAAACATAGCAAAGATGAGAAGAAACTTAGAAGACGACAATGAAGCAAATGTGAAACTTACAACATACGGGTGCAGTGCTCATTTGATGCCTCTTTTAACCAAAGATTTAAGTACTCCCAGAATAAAGGAAAATGTTGTTGAAATCGCAAAATACTTGTAACAACCAGTTTGCTTCAGCTTCACTGAGGAGAGCTGGGGGAACCCAACCTAATTCTCCCCCAAGATGTACAATGGAATGCAGTCCTTGACTAAGCTATTTATTAGGAGCTAACCTATTTACATGACCATGTGTGAAGTAACTTGCAACAGAATTGATGGATATAATCACAGCTGGAGCAGTCAACACTGGACTAAAAAGAAATGTAGAAGATATGCTGAACACACTAAAAACCTATTTCCATAGCTCTGAACAAACTACAAAGAGATTGCTCCTATACTGCAGATGCTGCTGAAATTTGTAAAGAAACTCTAGAAATATTAAAGCAAGAAATACTCAGCAGCAAAGTAGAACTGCAAAGTAGAACCTCATTTTCTTGCCAATATTCACATACAGGGTAGATGCCTAACTACCAAAGAAGAAAATGCTGCTGTGCATCTATTAACCACCCAATCATGCCAACCATAATAAATTTCAGGGCTAGAGGTGAGCTAATCAATCAATACACATTTTCTAAGGATGTTTTAAAAGGTAGTCACATTGCTGAATTGGTGGAAGCCACTGGCAAAGCACCTAAAACCAATTTGTTGTAAATGCTAAACTAACTTTTACCATCAGTAGGCTCTTCTGCAGGTGCAGAAAGAATATTTTCTTCATCTGGACTGGTTTACTCAAAGCTGAGAAACTGATTGGGAGTTGAAAAAAGCAAGGAAGCTCATTCTCCCTTTTAATCAATGATTTAAAAGGGGGATGAGATTTATAAGTTCCAAAAATTTGAAGGAAACCAGGTAAACATTTTCAAAGAGCATGGGGGGGGGGACGAGACCATCTTATTTTAATGGGAATTAGGCAAGCAGGAACTTAAGCTGAAATGACTTTCACCTAGGCAGTTTAGAAAATCCTCCCCAGGGTGACCTGAAATAATTGGTTTAATTCACTAATCACAGGTCATACTTCTAATACTATAACAGCTAGTATTAGTGTTCAATAAAGTAGTTGGCTGTAAATGTACATCATGTTTTGATAAAAAAACTTCTGTATCCAAAACATTAGCTTTGTTTAATAAATCTGAAGGGCTAACTGCACATGTTGAATTAAATTCAAGGTGCCATCTTAAAGGCAGCCTGATACAAATGTGTGCAAAAGTTAGTCATCTAGTGAATAAGAAATACATATATTTCACTATTTTATAGCATACTAAAAGGGTAATACATTTCTTAACATACTTCAAATGTTAAATATATTTACAAAATGTAAATATATCTAGTTTCTGTACCTAGGAAACTTATGTACCAAATCTACTGTAAAAATTGTACTTCACTGTTATTCAACTTGCTTTGTTATATCAACCAATGAAAATAAAATGTTCTTTAAAAAAAACAAAACAAAAATATACACAACAGGAAGTTGATAAACTCAAATATTTAAATCAGGTTTTTGGCTTGCTGATTTAAGTCATGATTTAAAAATTAGTGGTGCTCAGCCTTTCAGCTCTGAAGGCCAGATGAGTGGGGCAGGGGCCAGTCCCCGAGCTGGATCCGGCCTTGCGGCCCAGCACCACACCCACCCAGGCCTGCCCACTGGCATCCAGCACCCATCCAGCTCACAGGTCTCGGGGCTCTCCATGGGCAACGGGAGGGGGGGAAATAAGTAAGAGCAAGTCAAAAATGGGCACAGACAGGTCCAAAGCAGATTCCTACTTGATCTCACACAAGGGATAAAGCTAAAAAATAAGGAGTTTCAAGTCCCAAGAGTGTCTGAGGGGGTATTTGTTGAATGGCATAAAAAAGAACAGCCATGGGAACACAGCCAGAGTTAAATCTCTATTTCCCTAATAGTTTCAGAAGCAAGGGGAAGAAAGATCAACATTTCCCAGCTAGACTGGTGGAGGAGCATTACCAGCTGGGCTAAATCCCCTTCACTGAATGCAGCACATTTCCTCTAGTTATTCCCCTCTCCCACCCCCCATCCCTTCCAACTTAATACCTTCTCCCAACTAGACACTGAGCCATTGAGGAGTATTCAGAGTATGACGACGACCCACCCAGTTATTTATCTACCTTAAAGATCTTTCATCTAGTCCATATTTCCTCATTAATGTGGATATCATGGGAGACTGTATCAAAAGTCTTATTATTGTCAGTCTACACCCCTAGTATTGAGGGTGCTACTTGCATAGTACTGAAATACTGACAAGCGTTGGGGACTGACATGCCATTTACATTGTGGTAGCTTAAGCAATTACTGTACAAATAAGATTCCCTACCCCAAAGACATTATAGTCCAACTAATAAAACATTTATAATTTTATTATTTCATTAAACCAATAAAAGGAGTTCAATTTTGAAGCGCTATTTGTAAGACCTGTCCAGGAATGAAGCCATGCTGTACACAGTCCAAGATTTCCCCAAGTCACTTGCATATTTTCCTTTTACAGACTGGTTTCCTTTGGTTTAGTTTGCTTTGACAAAAATATTAAGGAAGTCATTTTTCACCCTTTTCTAGTTTATTAGCAAAATGGGTTTCAACACATTACTATCCTATTTTCATTATTTCATTGCTCACCATGGACAGACAATCACACAAGTAACAATGAACTGCAGAGCCAACACATAGAATGATGATTCTCAACTGGGTGTTACAAGCTCCTTGGAAGGGTACTATGGTGCCTGGCCCCTATGAGAAAAGGGTACATGCTGGCTCCTCCAAATACCAGGCAGCCTGCACTGCTTCAGTGTCTTGGCTGGGAGCATCGGAGGAACAAGGGAACAAGCCAGGCTGAAAAGCATGGCTCCCACCCGACAGCTCCTGCACTGACCACCCCAACGCTCCAAGAACAAGCTCTGCCATAAGCCAGCAACAGAACGCTGCACTGATTCAGCCCAGCTCATTCCCCCAGTCCTCCCTGACTCTATGAACTGGTGACAGGGGCTGCATGAAATGGGACTCCTGCAGCGTGTCTCCTTAGGAGCAGGCACCATGCTGTCCCTCTCAGCTAAATGGGGACCAGGAGGAGGTAAATGGCAAAAAAAGACAAGGGCACAGCAGGGTTCTGTCCCACTGCCTTCACCTGGCACCAGCCACTGCACAAGTAACCAGTCATCCCCTCCCACTCCCTGCAGGAACAGCAACCTCCTTCAGGAGTCTAATAACCCAGCCTCAAGCTCCCCAGTCTACTCTGTCTAGAAGCCACTTCCAACTCTGAGCACTGTGCACCATCCCTCTGCCATGCTACCAGTGGTGCCCTGACTGCCCTAGCACTCCATGAAATCCTCTAAAAGGGTGTTTCAGAGTACAAGGAGGTAAGAGATAAATTATTCTTAAATTAATATGGTGTCACTAAATTCCAAGAAGTTATGGAAGGGTGCTGTAAGTCAGAAGGTTGAGAACTACTGTTACAGAAAAATGCAGTGGAGAAAAGCCAACAGTCCTAACTAGTGATGCTGTGGAACTGCTGTATTTTCTTGCATTCCCCCCTCCCCCTCCCCAAAATAAAACACACACCTTGTTTTGGGAAAGTAAGACCAAGAGAAAAGATTTTTCTAGTATCTTAGCTTCCACAGCACAGGGTTGCCAAGGCTGAATGCTGACAGCATACACAAGGGGGGTAGGCCTGTAGTCAGCTTCATTCAACCTCTAGCAGCTGCACAGCTACAGGGTTAACCTTGCCAAA